AATGGAGCTTTTTAAAATGGAAGTCGAACTTTTGTCAGACACTTTTAGCCGCGCCGGAGATACATTTAAGCTTTTTAACTTTTCCACTCCGGTAATGTATCCCACTCTTTCCTAACGTCGTCGTAGAGGTGTCGTATAAGTTTATTTTTTATTTGAGCAGAGGAAGTAACAACTTTTTATTTGTTTAACTCAGCACGTCCCCAGTCAGTTGCGATAATCCTGTCAAAGAGGTCTTCTATCCAGTTTTTTTATGTTCGTCCACAGTGTAAACATTTTGCCTACGATCCATTAAGTAAATGCACTCGGGCTGCCACTCGGCACTACATTAATATTGCATTTCTAACTCTCCCTCCTATGGTATAACCGCGTTGCCGCAACGACCGCTGCTTCTCTGAGTATAATAAATACCTACAGTATTGAAAACCAATAATCGTAAATATTAAGTAATGTTATAGGTAATAGATGATGTAGCTTAGAAATTTTGCTACTATAATTTGCTACACATTTAAATGGTAAAATCAATAAGGGTTTTAAAATCTGAATTATAATAATAATAATAATAACTAAAGATCTTTAGATTCATTAATATTTTTATTGTGCTCTCGTAACTACATTGGCTCAATGTCAGAAACTATGCGGAATAACAAAACCTAAGTGGCAGCAAAGTTTCTTATATAAATGACATCAATCACTCAAAATCAATAAGTGCTTGTAGGTAATGTAAGCGCTTAACGAGCCGCGAGCAGAACTCCTGAGCGGATCAGCAAATGGAGTGCTTCATGCATAATGTAGCACCGACAGAGTGTTGTTTTGAAAATCATTCAGAATTCGTTATTTTCATCACGCCAGGTGATGCCTGCGTGCCTCATGAAACATTAAACGACATATCAATGTGATAACAGATTCGGCACGCTTCGAATTATCCCGCTTCGATACTCGCCGCCGATCCGGGCCAGATCATCGCTTAGCAGTAAAGCGAGATTTCTATACCCTGACATAACTTTATTAAATGATAACAGGAGATAACCGGCACCTCAGAATTAATTAATCCACTCAGAGATTGCATCTAAAGGCCCTCTCCACCCGCGCCTCACCCCCGGCCGGGTCGATCCGTTTCCAGCCACTTAAACTTCACGCGCCGCGCTCTAGCTTCCGTTTTAATTACAAAATTAATTCAAAATGTAATTAAAGTTAACAATAAGGCTGCAAACAATTGAAGTTATTTACGTTAGTTTATGCTTTATGGAGAACACAGTCTTGTTAGAAAGGCAACTTGAAATGGATATCTTACACTTAAGATAAGTACCTATTTATATTTCATTAATTCTTTTTTAAATATTTATTTAGTATTTATCATAAAATCATAGAATAAAAGCCAGTGTCATATCCTAAAAGATCACCTATGTAATGGAAATGGTGTCAATAGACAGTTCTGCGGGTAGCGACTCATCCACTCAACCTCGCTATACAAGCAATAAAGCTCTGTTGAAAAGCACTTAACGGGATTGATTCAGACCATTTACCATTCTTTAAACAAACACAAAAACCTCTCCATTATCGTAAATTATAAAACCTTTTAGCAAATCGAAGTTAAAGAAATTTGATAAAAACTATGCGTTTTTTAATATTATAACTTTTTTTTACTGTTTTAGGTACATAATATTATGTCAGTTACTTTATTAATTAACATTCTTAATTGCAATCACTGAAATTTTTATTCTTAGTTTATGTTGCGCTTTTATGTAAAATAAGTATTTCTCTAAAATGTTAGTAATTTAACTAAAATGTAAAGCTTACTTGGTACATAGTCCTACTACATAGTCAGAGTACCGGTTAGTACTTATTTTATCGAAATCGACTTTCCTAATGCACAATATTTAATTCAAGTTTATTTACATATTATGCATAGAATAAGTTTAGGAAGCCAAATCATTAGCGTTTTAAGAATTCTCATTAGCTCAAAGACCCAAATCGCGCACATTGCGAAACAGCGCCCACCATGAGTTTTGGTTGACCCTAAAAGGTTTTTAAAACCCATGACTGATTTCTACAAGAAATGCTATAACACTTTTCTTTTTTTTAAGTTATTACCTATTTATCGATATTTTTTTTATCGCTTTATTCTTCTATTCATCATTCTCATTTTTATTCTATTCATCCGTTTTATTAGTAAATCCGTCTGTATTATTTACATTATGTTTTTATATATGTAGCAATATACTCTATGATTAAGTTTGACGTAACCAAAACAAAAAGTAATAATCTTGCCAAACAATCATTTCTTGTAATTATTATATTATCTTCAAAATTAATAAAAATTTTTTTATTTTTTTTTTATTTAATCATTTATTTCAGGCAATATTCTCAAAAAGATCTTAAATATGTAAACAGAGGCCCATATTAAAACTAAGATATATATTAATAAGTACCTATATTATTTTATTTTGTCGTCCTAGTCTAGAATTAGGTCAAGGTGAACGCACGTTGGGGGGGAGTCTAGAATTAGGTCCTTTTGGCGGGAACCCTTCTATCTATTCTAAGATTGACACGGGCAACGACTTATATTTGTAACAATTAATTAATATTAGCATTTAAAAACAAAATGTTGGTAAAGTAGATACAGTGCCTTAGACCACGGAAGAGAAAAAGCAATGGGTAAGATTTCTCGAATTTCGAAAGGAGGGCGCTATACGTATAATCCATTTACATTCAGTCTGAAGTTAAGCAATTTATTATGATATCTCTTTTGTGCCTGGTTTTTTGCTTCTATTATGTTCGCATCCTACCTGTGTAATGTATTGTACCTGGAAGTTAGACCAGCTGAAGAAAGAATTGAATAGAAGAGATGCATCCTTTGGTATTCCTGACTGATTAATGGATCACACGCAGCCTAACCCGCTGGTCGTAGAAACGTGAAATTTGGAGGACGTATCCTATATTATATATGCATCCGATAAGAAAGAATTTTTCAAAATACATCTCCTAAGTGGGGAAAAATAGGGGATTAAATATTGTATATTTATCATTCTTAATGTGAAATACACAGACAGTGGTGTTTAACTTTAAGATATAATATAAGAAATATATTTTTTTAATTTTTTTCGAAACTCATCCCTTAAAGTGGTAAAAGGGGGTATTAAAGTTTATATAAACAAAAAAATATTTATGGCCAGAATTACTTGAAACTTGGTATTAATGCTCTTCGATACAATTATATGAATACATGTTTTAGTATTTTTCGAAATTCAATCTCATAAGCGGGTAAAAGGGGGGATGAAATTTTGTATAAAACTCTGTAAATAATACGCAAAAATAAAATATATATATTCACCTATAGACGATTCAAGAGTTTTAAAATCACTTTCTGCAAAATGATGTCCACATAGCCTTAAATATGGTGCATTTCATATGAAGCGGACAGGAAAAAAAAGTGAGGTTAGGAAATTTGTTCATATGCCTTGCGTGAGGTGTCTATCGGGCTAAGTAGTCGTTGATGTGTGGTATGTTTTTCTGTAGTATGGCTTCGTATTGCTCAAATGCATGCTTCCGAGTGCGGTTTGTTTTAATCGACAGCTTTGACTGTTAAGATCAAAGCATTGACTAGTAATACAAGCTTGCAAAAAATAGCAAATAATAAACCCTAAGTTTTCAGAGCTTCAACTCGCTTGAATACAATGATACATGTGATTACACTTCAAATTTCGTCAAGTAACTGACATAAATAAGTATGAAGCATCACGCTCAGAGCGGCATGCATGTACATTAATTTACCCATCTCTCTAAGTAATAGAGTCTCCACTATGAAACTTTTAGTGTTTTTTAATAATACTATAGCCTATATTTGGGTGTAAAAAAAAATGGTCGAAGTGATCAAAAAATTGTTTTGAAACTTTCACTTCCGGTTTTGTACATATATTTTTTAATTTCAAAAAAATATTTTTTTATTAAAAAGAGCAACTAAAAACCTATACAAAACGTCAAGTTTAATAGTTGTTTGTATTTTTCCCCCATTCGAAAAACTAAATCTAAAATATCGACATTTGGATTAAGATTATGTTTTAAAGGCCCATAACTTTAAAAATAAACATCGTAGAAAAAAAATATTACGTATCCACTTTCATACCTACTAGAGGTATAAATAACCCGCATATGAACAAATTTCCTAACCTCACTTTTTTTTCCTGTCCGCTTCATATGAAATGCCCCATATAAAGATTATGATTTCGCTAACTTTGGTCGCCTTATTGCTTTATCCCACAATTTCTTCAGTTTTTGTCTTATGGGAACAAATGATATCCATTTTATTTGTATCCTGGCGCTACACAATGTGCCATTTAAATTGAATTTTAAATAGAATGAAAAAAAACCATCCAGACGTCCTTCTAGAGCTTTGCAATATACTGAGGATTATAGTGATCGCGATGTCTGGCGGGAGAAAAATAGCAAATTCTTTCCCATTATCTTCTATGCCATAGGCAGAAGAAATAATATTGTTAGGATTTCTGATTTTAGGATCAACAATTAGCTAATAATATCATAATATAAAAGTGTGGTGTGGAGAAGAATGTAATAATATTATGCTTGTAATTGTCTTTATTTTTATCGTTTCTGTATTTCTCGCCAATTTACTAGTAATAGATATACAATAATATAATATTATATACAATATGAGTAATGCGGCGACCAGTATAAAATAAATATAATACCAATATCAAAAAAATATCAATACGAAAATAAATATTCTTCGATCCTGCAACTGTATATTGTTTGTTTTTATTTAGCTTTCTTATAGTCTGAGGAAATTTTTGGACGGGTTTAATTTTTATGCTGGCTATACCAGTATTATCGTAAGTCGTAACTGACAGATGACAAATAAAAATAATACAAAAATCAAACCTAGCGGCAGCCGGCGTGTGAAAGACATCTCTCTTCTTTCAATTTAAAAGCGAGTAACGATTTCACAATATTTTTGCTACATCTCTAACCGAATTGATGGCACAATGCCGAATACAAGGAAAAAAATTATAAAAACCGTATACAAAGATGAAAGCAGTGAAAACGAAGGTCATGATTTTAGTGATTCCGGTTCTGAAGCGGTTATTACTGATCAAGAAAGTTCTGATGAAGAAGAAGAGGAGTATCATCACTCTTCGGAAGATGATTTTCAAACAAAACAACCTAAAGCAAAAGGCAATAGTAGTGTTGGTAGAGGAAAGAAACCTAAATTCGCAAAATCTTTCATAAACAAAATAAGTAAACAAGATATAGAGAGTAAAGAAAACATTGACCTGGCACCTGCATTATTTTCTATCAAAGATCTGACTGATGCCGATAAACTTTTACCTTCAGTTCTTAATCTTTCGGAAAGTGGTATGTGGATGTTTTTATATTGTAAATGTCCTTCTGTATTGTATTAAAATTCAATATTAATTATAAATTGTCCAGGATCTGGTGGACTTTTTGTTTCCAACTAATTATGTATATATTTTTCCATAATAATAAACTACTAAAATTACTGGAGTGGTTCACCAAAATAAACACATTAAACTGTAGGCTAGGAACTACAACATCAAAACATAACTTCTAATTTCTTAGAATAAAGGTGAAAAACAATGATAAGCCTACCTAATTATATTAAGCATGTCATAATGCAATGATAAACCCTACCATAACACTCACTGATATCTAGGCATATTTTATTTGAATTCTTAAGGTAAGGACCACTACCCCAGATTACAAATATTCTCTGTAAAAATGAATGCTATCATTTATTCAGTTTTCCAACTAAACTGAATAAATTTTGTCATTCCTGTTTGAGTTCCTTAAATCATAAAACCTGGTAGAATGTTACCAAGGGACTGTATTTTGTACTAAAAACTTAATTTTCTTAATTGATTATCATAGTTTATTTTATTGCTAACTATTAGTATATAAATATCGGTCAGTGAGAATAAGCTCTTAACCCCTGAATATAAATATCATAGGTGGGACATCCTTTTTCTATTAACTAGTTATGAAACAACCATTGATGAGTAAGATTAGTATTATTTATCAAAATAACATAATATGTAATACCACTATTACAGATAGCAGTGATGATGAGTCATCCAGAGTTGCTACAAAGAAAGAAAAGAAAGCTATGCCATCAAATATACACTCTGCTGAAGTAAATGATTTTGAGAATGAAGCAGACACTAAATTTGAATATAAAGATGTAAGTCATATAAACATAATAAATCTGTTTAAACTATTTATTATTTACATATACATATAAAATAAATTACACATTTTTTTCTAGTACAGTTGATTCATACTTAATTTCAAATTTTTATGAGCAAAAACTAAAAAATATAATAACAATAAAAAAACATGCTATGAATATTTTCAACTAACATCAGAGGGGGTGAATTGCCTATGAATTTTTGGAGTTAAATATATTTATGGGTTTCTTTAATAGTATTTTGTTAACAAAGTGTCAGAAAGTAGAAGTTTATAGATTCTATTGGTTAATTAAAGGCAAAATTAAAGTAGAATTAAAAATTAAAGTAAAATCTTATAATTAGCAAATTTTTCTTTTTAGGTATGGTCAGAAAATGTACCAGACAATAGTGAAGAAATTGCTAAACAGACATTCTTGGAATTAGAAAGACATAAGAGACAAATAGAGGAAACAAGGTTATCCATCCAGAACTACACTATGAAGAATGATAATATGAATGAATCCGATGTAAAAGACTTACTTGCACTTGGGGAAGAAGAAATTAAAGAAAAACCATTTACTAAACCTAAAATAAGGAATATTAAAGGAGATAGTGATTCAGAAATGGAAGATTGGGAAGAAGTTAAAGGTAAGGAAAAGAATAAAAAACATAGGTTAAAACACAAGTACATCTATACTTATTATAAAAATAAGTCCCCCGGCCGCGTCTTTCTGTCCTCCTGTCTGTCCTCCTGTCTGTCTGTACGCGATAAACTCGAAAACTACTGAACGGATTTTTATACGGTTTTCAACAATAGAAAGAGTAATTCTTGAGGAAGGTTTAGGTATATAATTTATTATGCTTTTATGTAAATTAGCTGAAATACGGCGACAAATGTTGAAGAGGTCGCAAAAAATCTCGCCAAATGGGAACTTTCCATACAGTTAAGTAATGTACTAGAGAATTCAAAATCTATAAAAATGCTACAAAAAAGTCCGCGATAGCATATCTCTATCTCTTACGGTTGACTTACAATAACCACTTTTATGTTAACATTTTTAATTAAAAACATTACGTTATTTTCAAAGTTATTTTCTTTAGTTCGGTATTAATCCTTATCCAAATGAATATTTTAGTTAGCTTAGTCATTTAATGCAGATTAAAATTGCTCTTTACACTAAATCAATCAGATGAATAGTTTTTGAGATATCGTTGTTAGAAGTAATTAGTAGCGAAACATTTTTAATGCTTGGCGAGCATTGAGATGCCTACGGCGAGTCCATCCCCTCTGCCCCGCATCGCTCGACCGCCTGCTCAAGCTATATAAACCGGGCGATGTAGCGCGCGATCCTAGGATACTTTTTACCGCGGGAAAATATCTTATTTCTGAGGAAAAATACAAAAACTGCAATGTAAGAGTATACTAATATGTAACACCTAAGAATTTAGTTTTTGGTCATCTGAACGCGGGCGGAGCCGCGGGCAATGCTAGTATTATATATTTCGTTTTATTAAAGAATAAAATAAATCACTTAATTACACTTTTTAAGTCTACAAATATATCTATGCAAGTATTGCAATTTCTATTAACAATTTTAAATGTCAGTATACAATATACATAGTGTTTTTGTAGTATTTGCATCATATTTGGCCTGTGTGTAATTCCAGACTATAATCTAACTCTGTGCGAAATTTTATCCAGATCTGTTCAGCCGTTCTGGTGTGAAAGAGTAACAAACATCCATACATCCATACTCACAAACTTTTGCATTTATAATTTAAGTATAGATAAGTTTAAATTATTTGTAGATGCTAAAGGTATACCACAACAAGGTTTACAATTAATTGTTGGTATTCCTGATGGTCTTCATAGAAAAACTAAAAAGTTAGATGTTGAAATGATGATGAAAAGAAAAATGAATAGAGTTAAAAAAGAATACCAAGTGTATATGCACAAAGTACATGTCTTGTGTTGGCTTGGACATGGAAATTATGTTAGCCAAATATTGAATGATCAAGACATCCTAGCTGCAGCTTTATCTTTAGTTCCATCAAAGGAATGCTACCCAGAAGATAGAGTTGATATGAAATATGTTGAGCAAGTAACAACATGGTACAAAGACAAAGTTACTTTAAAGCAGGATAAACATGAAAATAAGTTCAGACCGAAGGCACCACCGTTAAAAGAGCTTTTATTGCAACAAATAAAGAGTAGAACATTCTCAACTAAGAAATATATTGTTTTTGTATTTGTATCTATGCTGAGAAGTCTTGGGCTGCAATGTCGTGTTATGTTTAATTTTGTGACACTGCCAATAAGACCACCTTCTTCTGAACTGTGTTCTCTATCTACAAAACCAAAAGATAATAAAGAAGATGATAAGGCAAAAGGCAACGGAAAGAAACTACCATCAAATAAAGCATCGAAAACTTCTAAAGTTAAAAAGGAAAAAATACCACAGCTTGATGGGAATTATGATAGTTCATGTGAAAGTGATAATATTATGCAAGTAGACGGTAATGATGACAATTCGACTGTCAAAACTCGACGACAAAAAAATTTAACTGCAAATAATGCTAAAAAACAATTAAAAAATGAGCCTAATGCCGAAGACGAAAGTGTCTCTCCACCAAAACGAGCAAGAAAGAATCTCGCAACACAAGAAAAAGTAAACGTTGAATCGTCTCTAACTAACCAAGATGATATTAAGTCAACCAGAGCAGCAACTAAGAAAAATGCGCAAAGTTCACGAAAATCCTTATCACTCAAAAACCTTCAAAATCAAAAAGAAGACGAACAGAAAGAAATTGAGAAAATTAATAAAAAAACTGTAAGCGAAATAGTGAGCCCACGAAAGACTAGAAGTAAAACTGATAAAAGTACTCTCGACCCACCAAAGTCTCAATCGACTGTTGCAAAATCGGGCAAACCATTAAAGAAAACTAGTGATGCCCCTAAAATAATAGTTACTTCTGAAAATAATGATAACATCTCAAGCAAGTATTTTGAAGATGATAATGCATTTGCTGAAAAGAAACAACCAGGAAAGAAACGCTCACGCACATCAGAACCGAAATCATCTTTAAACAAAGATAGTGAGCAAATAAAGAAACAAAGGACTCGCAGTGCTCATAATGATGCTGAAAATAAAAGTAAATATTTTAATGATAACAAGGAACAAATTAAAAAGATCAGAAGTACTAACAAGTCTGTTGATAACACACCAGATGATAAAAAACGTGTAAGCCATAAAGATCTTGCAAAGAAGAAAACAAAATCAAAGAATGATGTAACTGGAGATCTGGTCAATATTATTAAAGATAGAGTAAAAGAAGCAAAAGAAGAAGCAAAGAAAGGCATTGTTAAAGGTTTGTATACAAATTAAGTATTAAATTTAGCATTTAAATTTATTTTTTATCTGTTTATAAATTTAGATCTTTAAAAATTAAAATGAAATACTGTTTGTTGGTAACCACACCAGGGAGGACGATCAGTCGATCGACTTAGCTAATTTGTTTTTTTTTATATTCTTTTTAGGTTAAATATGGCTTGTAAACTTCGATCAACATTACTACTAGATAACGTGTCACATACAAAATTCTGTCCGCGCGAATATGCACTTATACAGCTTCATTTATATACTAACGAACCAAGACAAAGTCATATAATAGTTTTATTTTAAAGTTAATCAACACCAAGGCACCATAGCATCATCATACACTTACGATCATTTCCTAAGTTTTATAATATTTATTGTAAAATCAACTTTATATTAAAAATCATTAAGCACTTTTTCCTGTTTTTGCTTTGTGAGCTAAATCGTCATGTTTTGTTTCTTCTTTGAACTTCGCCAAACGTTCTTAGCGGATTTAAAATTATTCAAAATTTCATTTTTATATTATTTCGTAGGTTAAATCTTAAAATATTGACTTAATCTACATGTACTTAACGAAAATAAGACACTCATTTTTGGAACTTTTAAATAAATATTGCGGCAATGTGCTTGCAATGTTTCAATAGAACTAATCGAAATATACGCTCACTTTGCAAGTGAGCTTATATTTACCGAGACAGATTTTTTACGCTGACACGATATCTAGTAGTATTGTTGATCGATGTTTGTAAGGGATAAAATTGAAAAATAGACTTGATTATTATTAAGGTCAACTTTTTAAAATCCAGTGTGTTTATATATTAAGTTCAAAAAAACACCCGATATTATAATTTTATTTTTCAGGAAAAATTAAGCAAGAGTCAGATGAAGATAGTGACTATTTACCAGTTGAGTCACCAAAACGTAAAACTGAAAGCGATGAAGATTTTAAACCCACGAAAATAAGCCCTAAGCCAGTCTCAAATGTAAAAAAAATAGATCGTCGAGTGTTATCAACAGATAATGAACTACCATTAAATAAAATTGATGTGTGGTGCGAGGTGTATGCGGAGGAACTGGAAGAGTGGATTGCTGTTGACGTTATTAAGGGGAAAGTTCATTGTGCCAATGAAATATATGTGAGTGGTATTAAATAAATCATTCTTTAAACAGTAATATTATTGCCTATTATTAGTCTTATTACAGTCTATTAATTTTATAAATTAAAGTCTCTATTTTAGACATTAAATATTCTTGAATTTTCTCAGTTTAGTTTTTCCAACAATAATCTCTTAACTATGTGCATAAATTTTGAAGAAGTTGCTTTTGTCTGCGAATTTTGTGTAGGAATAACAGGATAAAAAAAACTTTAGTATAATAAATAATACTTTTCATCATTATGGTTTACAAAGAAAAGTATAATTAATATAAAAGATAAATATCATTTTTTCTTTTCAGAGTCGAGCTACACATCCAGTTAATTATGTTGTAGGTTGGGATAACAATAACTATTTAAAAGATCTCACTCGTAGATATGTTCCACACTGGAACACTGTCACAAGAAAACAGAGAGTGGACACAATATGGTGGGAGAAAGCTATAAAGCCCTGGCTTGGACCTAAAACTGCAAAGGATAGGGAAGAAGATGAAAGATTAGATCGAATGCAGTTAGAAGCACCTTTACCTAAAAGTATTGCAGAGTAAGTGAAATTGTTCATTTTATTTAGTAGCTGGCATGTACTACTGCAGATCCGGAGGTCCTGGGCTCGAGTCGTGGATCGGGCCTAATTTAGTTATTTAGTTTTTCTGTCGAAACATTCTCAGTGCCGGCTTGGAGTTGGGAAGTTGACAGTGCATCACTCCATCCATCCATGTCTCAGAGAGCACTTGTCGCATTGGTGCTGTACTTCATCTCTAACGAGTGTCGATTGGAGATCCCACTGGAGTATGAGAGTGACAGGAATAGAGAGTGCACTTGTATTTGCACCTATACTTGTACACTGTAATATCTCCTGCGCAACTAGTTTCAGTGACATGGCCAGCTAGTCTCAGTGAGATTGGCCGCCGTGGCTGAAATCTCCACGGAGGATAGAAGAAGATTGCATGTAAATATTTTGGATAAAATCTAACTTTTAGTAAAATAAAACCTCTTCGCATTAAAGTGGTGTCAAAAGTCAAAAAGTTTATTGTATTTTTTTTTGGCACTGTATAAGTAAAAGGCTGTGACATTTCCGCTTCATAATATCAAGTTATAACGCACTAGCTGTGCCCCGCGGTTTCATCCGCGTTGAATTTGTTTGTTTACAAATATCAGTTTTACAATAATGTATGGAAGTCTGACCGATTTGTTTTTTTGACATTTATGACTGCTCAAATTGAGAATTATGTATAGTTTAATAACTATTGACGAGCTTTAGTTTAATAAATAAAATAAATAATTAAATGTGGCACTCGGAGACTGCCGCGGTAAAGCTATTGCATAGCATTTTTTATCAACTTATGCAATTATAATTATTTATTTATTTTATTAATGCAGTATTTTTTTCCTTGACTTTCTTCATTAATAAATGCACTTTGTTTATTCATATTTAAAACACTTTGTACACAAATTATACGAGTATAGATATTCACTGTTGTACATAGATGATAAATACCTATACACCTATATACTTTCTCACAAACAGCTGATTACGGTAGTTTTCCAATACAACCAATGCCACCTAAAGGCGGGTTGCTGAACTAAAGAGACAAGCGTGATATTTGAAAAAGTCATTAAAAGTTCTGGTATTTATCGATAGATGGAAAAACTAAAAAGTATCACCGCTGTGCCGGTCGGAGTGGGGGGTGTCAGGCTTTTTTCGTTACGGAATTTCTGGATTCGGTCCCCACGCTCAAGGCCCGCGATAGAAGCTATGCAATAGCTTAAAAAAATCAATAATAATAATGGTCGAAGTTCGACCACTCGGCGAACTCTAGTCAGTATAGCCGTGTAATAATATAATATGTTCACTATTACAGGTACAAAAACCATCCGCTGTACGCGTTAAAGCGCCACCTGTTGAAGTTCGAGGCGCTGTACCCGCCGGGCGCGGCCGCGCTGGGCGTCGTGCGCGGCGAGGCGGTGTACGCGCGCGCCTGCGTGCACGTGTGCCGCTCGCGCGACACCTGGCTCAAGGAGGCCAAGGTCGTCAGGCTCGGGGAACTGCCGTACAAAGTTGTCAAGGCACGCCCTAAATGGGATAAGGTATACATATCACCGTTCAGTCGCTTTAGTGCTTATTCGTTTAGATAACCAGTATTAATGTATTTGTTGAAATTGACCCTAGGCCCTCTTTGGCTAAGAGTGAGGCACGTGGCACACCGAACTTAAGGATATACTATGATTAATGAATTAGAATAAAATAAGAAAAAAACTAAATTCGGAATAAAAGACTTTATTATTATTATTACTTATTTTATTTTATAGTAGAGAGGTTTTTTTTTATTTTATTTTAAAAACCAATTTTTATTTCTATGATTTGTTTACATATTTACATATATAGATATATTACTATAAACACAAAAGAATAATTCTAAAAACTAAAAGTCAATAATTATATACACTCCTGATGTCTCATGTATTAGATATAAGTAATCTATCTCCACAGTTAGCAATTTTTATAAATCTCTGAACGGACCATGGAGACGTTAAATAAAGTAAAATTCGAGTTTACGTTTTAACAATTTTTATAAACCTTAAAATGTTGGGTTACAAATAACATTTTTTATGGGAGTTTTTAATATAGCAATACATTAGCTGCCCCTTGACAGTCCTCCAATATTAACTTATAATTTATATTCTTGCAGCTATCAAATAAATTAATAACCGACAAGCCACTTGAAGTATTTGGTCCATGGCAAGTGCAAGATTACGAACCACCTGTTGCTGAAAATGGAGTAGTTCCAAGAAACCCCTATGGAAATGTGGAGTTGTTCAAACAGTGCATGTTACCTAAAGGAACAGTGCATATAAAACGTAAGTAAATAATAATATTTATGAATATAGTATTTTAGTTAATAATTTAATTTTCATTTTTCTAGCTTTACAAACTTGATACCACGTAATAAGCATACTTACCTAACAACACACGTATTATTATAAAATTTGAAATGAAATTGAATGATGTTTTTAGCATAACAAACTGTAATAATATTTTAAATTGCTTAAAAGCATTCATACGTCGCGGTCGGGGAGAAGAAATAAATACGCGAAAAAATCCGAAAAGGTAGTTTTATTTTAAAATGTGAAAAATACGCTTAAATGTAAGAAATTATTACATTGTTTATTCTTTGAATTTTTTCTCTAAAGTCAAACTTTTTATATAAAAATACTCTTATGCTGTTCCAGTACCCGGCTTAAACAGAATAGCAAGGAAGTTGAATATCGACTGCGCGCCCGCCATGACCGGCTTCGAGTTCAACGGCGGCTGGTCGCACCCCGTGTACGACGGCTTCGTCGTCTGCGAGGAGTTCGAACAGATTATTACCGAAGCTTGGCACGAGGTACATATAATTATGATGTAACAGACTTTGATATATTAGCCTTATGTGATGAAAAATAAATAAACTATTATTGGTTACGGTATAATTTTGCTTTAAAATAAATAATCCATACTAATATTATAAAAGTGAAAGTTTGTATAGATGTATGGATGTTTGTTAAACTTTCACGCCAGAACGGCTGAACGGATCTGGATGAAATTTGGCACAGAGGTAAATTATAGTCTGGAATAACACATAGGCTACCTTTTATTCCAGAAAAATGTACGGTTCCCGAGGGATAGGTTTGTTTTTGTTTTCCAGACGACGAACGCGAGCGAAGCGAGGCTGAGCCGCTAGTTTAAAATAAAATTTGCTTTGCTCGGGTGCGTCCAGGATTCTTTTGTCATACAGTTTGTTACTTTATTTTAAACCGTTTAGGCAGTATAGCAGTCGACGACCATTTTTCCCGACTTCTAATTGTACATAAATTTAAACCTTATTACAATTTTATTGAACTATTCCTTAAATAATGGACATCTACCCCTTTTCAATATGCTCAATGGAAATTATTTTAACGTTGATTTTATATTCAAAATCAAAGCCAAATGAAGGAATATTATAATTACTTTTTTTTAAAAGCAAAAATGCAACGTTAATATTTGCAACTCAATACAAATTACCTTAAATCTATTTCAGGACCAAGACGAACAAGAACGTAAAGAGATTGAAAAAACTGAAACACGTGTGTATGGAAATTGGAGGAGAATTATTAGGGGTCTCCTCATTAAAGAAAGATTAAAGGCCAAGTATGGATTTGAGGAACCGAGCACTTCTCAAAATAAAATTAAAACAAAGGGCCCAAGGCTTGTTGTGAAGAAAAAATAATAATTAATTAGTAATAAAAACATAGTAATTAAGATATACAGTTAAGTTTCAAAATTTTCAGTTTAAGTCATAAGCGGAAATTTGTATGTTAAATATTGATGGCAACACTTATATGTATGTAAGATTTCTTTTAGATTATTCGGCATTATAATCATCTGTTTTAAAAGTTAGGCATAACAAAACTACATTTCAGGCTATCTTTTAAAAATTACATGTTTTCAATTTTTTTTATATATTTTAAAAAAGTTAACGTCTTTCATAAGTGACACTCTAAATACATGCCATAAAACATGAAGTGATATGATCCGCCTATTTTGAATATTAATCCCTAAAGCAATAATCCAGATTGAAAATTAGACAGTAAGTAAGTTAGTTTAAGGTTTAAAATGTGTTTTCTAAAAATATAGTTTGGGAAATGTCCAGTTTAACACTCGAATAATATGCACGTAGAAAAAATAATAAATATGTATGCAAGTAAAGTTTCCTTTTCTTAAAATTTTAGATGTTTAAAATTGTTTTTATTATATTTTCATAACAGTAATTACAATAAGAAACAAAATGCTCACGTATACGTTCGAATTCGGAAGCACTTGCCTTAATCATTAATCACATTGGACTTTCTATGATTTTAGAAATTCAAAATTATTACTTTGTCTACTGTTTGCTTAAAGTAAACAGCGATTTAAGTAATACCACCTACTAATATATACCTTAATTTATTAGTGAAAGATTTACAAATACCTCATTTTCATTCTATAGTTCATTCGCGTTAAGAAAATAGTGAGTCATCGTTGTCTACCGGCCTTAGCCACCAGGGCTGCTATATCGTATAATAGAATACGAAAATTGTAAAATATGGTTATTTTATGTATATTTAATTTTAAGTTGTTACATATTTTTATTGATTTTTTTTATTCATCACAGACTATTTCTCGAAAGTTTTGTTAATTTGTATACTAAAATTTGATTTGGTATAATTTGAATGACCCAGCGGTATAAAATAAGTTGGCTCAACTGGCAGCAGTTGTCTCTACTGGCAACCCTGCTAGCCACGCCTCCCGACCGCATAGGTCGCATAAAATTATTAAGTCAAGTTTACAATGACCAGTTAAAGGTAGACTTTCTAAACAGCGAAATAGTTGTGTCCTTTGTGCGTGACCTATAATAAATTTAGAAAATAAATACCTCACCTATTTGTAAGTATAAAAGTAGACCAATAATTCATAGCGGAGAACGACGAGTAAATTACATGTTTTTAAGTACTCTTAAACTACGCGATTTAAATGATTTTAATTCTTTTATAATAAATACAAACGAAGATTCTAGTGATACTGATTGCATATACTTATCATTAATGACTATTTTGATTTGCGATAATTAAGTTGATTTATATCCATTCAACTTATTTTTTGGAAATATGTATATAATATTTGAATTGAATTTTTACTCCACTGTGAATACCTTTACCCTGCAGTTGCACTTATGACTCATTATTTTCTTAACGCGAATGGACTATAGTAATAGTATAGTAATAAAGGCCACAGTGTAGAAATAAAAATGGTATTAAAATATATATTTATAAATTCTCCCGATAGTTAAATAACGGAATATATCCACGAAAATCTCGATATTTTGAAGAGATTTGATATCGTTGTATATTAGCTTTTGCGTAATATTGATAGAAAAAAGTTTTTGTTTAATGCTCCAACCAAAGAATAAGATATACAGAGCGCGAGAGCGAAATAATAAAGTCTAACGAAATTGACGGTGTTTCAACTTAAAAGTAATATATGTATTTATTGTCACCGATAAAATCTCAATCTATAATTATTATTGTAAATTATTTGATATTTTTGTGATGTTTAATATTTTTGAATTGTGGTATTATTACTTTGTTTATTTTGGCTTCTGTGGGCATAGTATGGGAATAGTATTATAATCATCTAACTGAAAATCAATGTTAAGCGTAAAACACGAACTTCTTCGCGCCCCATCTATCTTATTCTTTTGGTTTGTGATTTTAGAGCTCATGCATTGGCAGTAGATCTGCTCAAATAATAAAAAACAATACTAGTATATTTTAAAAGCCATTCTTGAGTGAGCGTTTTTACATAAACAAATACATATAAATACATATATTTGGCATCTACCCATGCACCTCTTACATCATCATCAAATATGTCAGTCTATTGCAATCTTTGTTATATTTATAAGATATTCTCACATGTACAATATAATTATTATTTAAATTGTTTATGTTGTTTAACATCACTAATTTACTAATGGAACAAATGTCTATATTCTAAATCTGCATGTCAAGTAACAAGTTTCCTTTTTCTGCATGTCACTCAAAATCATGATATAAAATATATTTGTTGGCCTCCTCAAAGTACCTGCTATTTTATTATTGAATTTTTTAATTTCAATTGTGTCAGTGATCTTTTTACTTTTTATTAAGTTTGTCTAGTTTTAATGTTTTTTTTTTCATTTTGAACTGTTACCCAATGAATGATTATTATTTTCACTGAGTGTTTTATTTAATTTAATAAATCTATTTATAATAAAAATATATATATATATATATATATATATATATATATATATATATATACATACACACACACACACCTTTTTTCGAATTTCTGTGCTCCCAGGCTCAAATGCTTCCATAGTGATAAAAAAATATTCCATGGAAATTTCAGTACCTACTTAATATTAACTCGTATGAAAATAACCTGGAAAAATTACTTTTTTTTAGATTTTTCTAACTTAAGGATAAATTAATTTAAAATAATGAGACATACATATTCTTATAGAGAATTTAACGCTCAACAAAAAAGGTTTCTTATGATTTTTCACTAAATATTGGTTCAAAAGTTATTCGAGCTCAAAGTTTAATTTATAAACAACTATCAATATTATCAAGTATATTTATAAAATAAACATTTGTTTATTTCAAAAATAAATTTCATTTTTTTAAAGTTATAAGTTACTGAATGGTATGTATGTGTATAAGGAGGGCTCGGAAACCCGTTCAATTTTTAAACCGGTTTTGGCCATTGACCCCAAACCGAAAGGGTTCAGTTTAAAGTTTCGGTTACGTTCTTTAACCGGTTAAATTCGGAAAAACGGTTTTTGGCGAATTTAGGTTCCATGAACAAAATTTACCGGTTAAAATAAGTTTTTGTGTTTTTACATTTGGTGCGTCTTTGCTAATGGTAAATGGTTACTGGTTAGTAGAAGGATGCATGCACGTTTCTTATTTAGGAATGAATTAACCGAGTTATTTCGGTATCAAAACCGAAATCCAACCTTTCTCTAAGAATAACCGTTAACCATTATTATTTCGGTTTCCTAAACCATTCGTGTTCATTAACCGGTTAAAGAACGGGCGATGAATTATGGGCGCACCGAGGCAATTACGAAATAATTGCGTTCGTTTGATCCCTTGCTGTATTGTTATTACTAAAACTTTAATTATGTAAGTAATATGATGTAAGATATTTAGGGATTTATTCTATAAATCGTACACTTTAGCAACACGATTACTTATAGTTTCCTCGATACTTAAAAAACAAAATAAACCCTTAGTACGACGTAAATAATTCAAGAAGTTCAAAATGTGTATTTGTTTTAATAATACCAAGGAAATATCCTCAATTCGCACGCGTTCCGTCCAGCCTAGATAAACCTCCGCCCCGAATTATTTCCCCAAATCACAAATCATATAATACTATACTAGACTAGCCCAAATAGTAGTGTTCATCGACAAATGTTCCATCAAATAATTACTTAATTGGTTTGTACTGTTTATTTATAGATGGCGCTCTTTAAATTTCATAAGTTTAGGGGATCAAAATATCCATATTCGTCTATGCAAGCAAAACTATTAACTAACCCGATTAATTGGCCGTCCGAGGTCTACACTACTCGTAGTAGTATTGTGTCATCTGCTATTAAAGAAAACGATTTAATTTATATTACTTAAATAATTCTAGACCCTTAGACTTTAGAGTATACATAAACTATAGAACGCGCGCTAACAAGTATGAACTATAAGCACGGGTATGAACAGTCTCGAAATAGCAAGGGCGACGCTATTAGTCACGAAAAGTCAATCTCGCTGACTGTTTCTCTCGTCGGTATTTATTTGAATATATGTAATCACTGAAGTGTGCAGTTCCAAGCTGTAAAAATGATTCACGAAAGCAAACGATAAAAATGATTCACGAAAGAAAAGCAACAAACAAAGATATTCTTTTCGACTTTTCATCGGTAAATAATATTTTAATCAGAAAACGCTAATTTTAACAAACTTACACAGGCTGGAGCGGGTGTTGCAGGAGGCGCGCGGGCGGGTCGACACAACACGGGCTTCCGCACCCCCCGCTTCTTACTTTCCTTCATTAAGTGCTAGTGTTGTCCCACGTACTACTCGAATATTTTGTATAACCATAGTATTATAAATTAAGATCCTTTGTATTTGTCAAAAAAACCCTTTAAATTTTAATGGCACCAAAGTACCTTACAATATTACTTAATTTTAATTTTTAACATTTTTATAATTTTAATAAGTTTTCTTAATTGCATGGATTATTGTTTATTTCATTTTAGCTGTTATTATTATAATTATTACATTTTTTTTAGAAAACTTTATAAATTAGTCATTTTTAGTGTTGTCATTATCATATTTATAAACATTAAAAAAATGCAAACCACATTATTGTTCTCTGTGAAATTTAAAACATTTAAAATGTTAAAATTAATTAAGAATAATAATTATATAATAATTATATCACGGAATTTAAACGCGTCAATTCACCTTTAATTCCCGTAATTTGCGTTTAAGTTCCGTAGTGTAATTATTATATAATTATGGAACGCGAAAAATTAAAGAGAATAATATGTAATTTTAATTTAGTTTACTATTATTTAAAAAAAAAACTAAATAATAAGCAACACTATTACTACATAGATTTGCAAATGAAAGATATTAT